CGTCGTCTTGGTCGTCGACATCATCTTTGTTGTCATGGGACTCTGTAGAATTGTTATTCCTGTCAACAACACCAAGTCCAATATATTCCACAGAACGTGACATGACCGAGATCGTTTTTTCTTCTTTTTTTTTTTACGCCACAGATAGGTCTACGAACAACTGCTCGGAAAAAAGTGGAAGACTGGGGAGGGCGGCATAATATTACTTTTGATGTCAACGTTTCCATTTTTCAGCCTTTTCTGATCGTGCAGACCAGGTGAACCAACGTCTGCGTGGTATAGTAGCGGTTTGGCGCTTCGCTGTCGCACACAGAAGACCCGAATTCGATTCCCGAGTGGGGAGAGATTTGTATCGACTATCTCGACCTTACTGCTGTGATGTTGTACCCCTTCAGCCTGGGTTGGCCCTAACTATCAAGGTCGTAAGCCTCAAATGATCTAAACTGTGTGGGAGGTTTTGTAAAAATCTGCTACTTACAACAAACAACGGCTACAACAAACGGGCGCTACGACAGCTACGGGCGGCATCAGGGGGGGGGGGTAAAAAAACCACATGTTGTAGAAAGACCAGGTTTGATAACTAGTTGAATAATAATGAGCTAATAAGCCTAATGCTGTTCCGTCAAAACCTATCCCCGACCCCCTTTCCCCAACCCTTCCCCGACCTTTCCCAAAATAAAATCCGTGACGCAAAAACGGAAGCGCAAAATAACGAAACAAAGCAAAAGGAATAACAGTCTCCTGTGTTGGGACTTGCCAACTTTTCACCCCGAATAGCCTGTGCAAACAATAGCGCGCGAAATGACTTTGTACAGGAACGATAACTCCCCTCCTCGCATTATATTATGTGGTATCGGAAGTTCCTGATCTTCTGAGGGCTCGGGACGTGTGACTAGGAGCCCAATGCTGATAACGGTTTTTAGATACGGTTTTGATGACGTCTGGCCGACAGCACGGGGCGCAGCTGACCTGCGGAAGGGAGATAAGCCAGCTATAGAATCAAGCCCGACACAGTGGAACCTAAGTTGGACTTCCGAAAGTCGGACTTGGACTGAGATAGTGAGTATATTATTACAATACCGTCCACGGTAAAGTGGAATGTAGTAGAGACCCCCTCTAATGACCCTGTGTTTCGAAAGAGGATAAAAATCGAGGTGTGCCTGATTATTTTGCCACTTCAGTTGTTTTTTTTTGGGGTTGTTTTTTTGGTGTCGCTTTATTGTTTTGGATCAAATTCTGAAGGTTGGACAGTTAGTTAGCAATGTATTCAACTTAACTGTGGGCGGTGTTGTGATAATATACTCACTTTGTAAGTCCAAGTACGATTACCAGAATGCTATTGGTATTCTGATTTCAACAATTTATTTATATTAGTGTCATGCTATCTTCCTTTGATCCAATGTGTCACGAGATGGGCTATGCTTTATCTCGTCCCACTTTAAAAATTTCATTTCTTCACCTCTGAGATATTCTGCAATTTAGTCAAAGGTTCTGGTATGATGACACTGGTTAGTCTAGTTGCCCTCGGAGACAGTCAGATGCAAGGTGGTACAATTTGATGAATGAGTTACAAATCTAGGGGGGATGGATAACATTATTAGATACATTGTACTTACACACACGGACCCACAAGCAGGTGGGGAAAGCGGGAAGTTAGGTTTTTTGAGGAACATTTATAGCTCTTATTGTCTTGACTTTGTTCTGTCAGAGACAACTCTGAAATTGGAGGTTTGTTCTTTCTAGAATAACAGTCCGAGTTGAAATGGGTGTCAAAATCATGCTTTACCATACGCTAGAATAACATGCCATGCCAAGTCAGGAGACTTCACAGCACAGCACAGCACAGCACAGCACAGCACAGCACAGCACAGCACAGCACAGCA